GGAGAGAAACAAAACAAAAAAGGAGAACATGAGAGCTGCTGTACTGGACCACATCAAAAGCTCATCTCCCCAGCATCTGCGTGCCAGGTAACATGCACAGATCCTATGAACAGGGCCAGACTGCAAACCATTTGCACCTAAGCATTTTCAAATTAAAGGATGAATTCCTGGTTTTTGGTTGTCTGTTTGTGTTTGTTTTCCTATTGATTTGTCCATTAAGTTTCATAAGACTTTAAGGCTGTTGCTTTTAACTTTTACTATGCTTTGTCTCAAGGTTTTCCATATAAGAGGTGAGCGCTTCCTTTTCTGGTTTTGAGCTGATCGCCTTTAACGTTATCTCCAGGAAAGAAAGAGATCCATATTAATAGAAGCATATGTGAAATAGTATGCAAGATTTTATAGACCTGTTATAAATCTCTCCAGCATCTGGTTCTCTTATCTAAAGATACTGGTATATTTTTGTTATTCTTTGTACAGGAAGTGATTTATTTCTCAGAGGCCCATGTCCCCTCTTAACCTCCCATAGTTCTAAATCCTTTCCTCTTAAAAGGCAAGAGTTATATCACCCGCACTAAACTGCACTGAAATTTGTAATCTTCATTCCTTTTTTTAAGCTCTGTTAAGGGATTTTTGTGTGTGCGTGTGTGTGCTAGTGAAGCAAGTGAGATGCTTATCATTGTTGGGGTAGATTACTGCTGCTGCATTCTATAATTTTTTTAAACAACAATTTAGCATAATTTTCTTGTGATGAATTCCACTACATTACACCTTCTCAAATCTTATGCTCCCATAGATAAGTTTGGATAATGGCAGTTTAGTCATCTTTTGATTACTGTGGGGCAGGTTCTGGATTTTTGACTTAATAAGAAAAGGCCTGAAACAGAATGAAAAACAGGTGGTTAGTGAGGAGTGTTCTTTGGTTTTGGACTTCTGAAGGTTATGAAAATCAGCTGTAAAGCTCTAGCTGCAGTATATAGCAACTTACTTACAGGTTAAAGCACTTCAAGACATATCTTGAAGGAAACTTTAATTCAAAAATTATTTCCGATCTAATTACTTGAACAAAGGGGCATGCTGCTGCATTAAAAATTATGTGCAATTCCTTAGCTTCAGTGTCTCATTTCTTATCAAGATAATTCTTGCTTGCGTGTATGGATAACAAGAATGAAAATCTTGCTTTTTTTTGCATACAAATTTCTGAACTGTTGCAGAAGCACAAAAGACATTAGAGGAAATAATGTAATATTTGATTCTAAAAGGAGTTATTGGAATTGTATTCTGTTGTGCTCCAAAAAGGAAGGTAGATGTATGGACCTTGCCAAATGAGGTAGAGATTTTGGTTTTTATATTTACCTTCTTCCCCTGTTGTGATAGTTCTATCCATAAGGGACACCTACCTCTTTAAATGAAAATCATGACCAATTTTCAATTTACTGCTGCAGAAACAGAGTATTTAACTTGATTTACTGAACTTCATTTTCAATTTTCTATGCCTTACTTTTGTTTGGTTCCTAGGGACACAGGTTTTTTTTTTGTTTTGTTTCTTTCCCAATGTACATCTAACAGCAAGAACGACAGGATCAGTCTTTACCAGAATTACTGTGGAAAGCTTAAAATCACAGAACTGTTTGAGTTGGAAGATGCCTTACAGATCATCTAGTTCCAGCCCCCTGCCACAAGCAGGGACACCTCCCAAAAGATCAAGTGGCTCAAGGTCTCATCCAACCTTCACGGATGGAGCGTGCACAGCTTCTTTGAGTAACATATTCCAATGCCTCACCACCCTTTGAGTAAAGAATTCCTCATCTCATCTCAGCCTTCTCTCTTGTAGTTCAAAGCCTGTTACCCCTTGTCCTATCGCTACACTCCCCAACTTTCCTGTAGGCTCCCTTTAGGTACTGTGGAAGGCCACTATAAGATCTCCCTGGCATCTTCTCTTCTCTGAGCTGAACAAGCCCAGCTCCTTCTACCTGTCTCCGTAGGAGAGATGCTGCAGCCCTTTGATCATTCTTGTGGCCTCCTCTGGACCTGCTCCACATCCTTCTTGTGCTAGGAGCCCAAGAGCTTAACACAGCACCACAGATGGAGGAGTCTCGTGAGAGTGGAGTAGAAGGGAAGAATCACCTCCCTGATCTGCTGACTGTGCTGTTTTGACATAGCTCAGGATGAGGCTGGCTTTCTGGGCTGCAAGTGCACATTGCCAGATCATGTTGAGCTTTTCATCCAAGTCCTTTTCCTCAAGATTGCTCTCAACCCATCCTTCACTCAGCCTGTGTTTGTGCTTAGCATTGCCCTGATGTAGATGGAGGACCTTGCACTTGTCCTTGTTGAACTTCATGAGGCTTGCACAGCTCCATCTGTCAAGGTCCCTCTGGACAGCATCCCTTTCCTCTATAGTGTCAGCTGTACAACTCAGCCCACTGCTGCCCTCAAACTTTCTGAGGATGCTCTGAATAATACTGTCCACACTGCCAGTAAAAATAATAAATACAGAACTGAAGGACACCACTTACTGCTGGTTTCCACCTGAGCAGTGAGCTACTTGCATCTTTTCATATGCCCATTCAACCAGTTCCTTATCCAGTTGCTATTTCTCTGTCTGCCATTGCCGTCGCTTTGTCATAGAAAACTCTATGTAGGATTTCTTTAATTTGTAAAGCAGGTACTTTTGGAGTAGTAATGTTAATTCATTAGAAAAATATGTGAAGTAGCATCAAAATATAGTTATATTCTTTAGAAGGCACCAGATCTAATTCTGTACCTCATTCAAGTGCAGTGGGCTTTTGAAATAGCTGTAAGACTGAATGTAAATACTTCTGTTTACTTCTTGTGAAATTTTGTATGAACACATGGGAGTTAACAGTATCCCTCTTTCATGCCTTAGCTGAAGTGAGTCAGAGCAAATCAAACAAAGCAAAGGACAGCTGGGTGAGCAATGTTAACAAAGAAGTCTTTGCACCGCCAGAACTACATGGCATTGTGGAACATCAAGAAGAAGAAGAAGAACTGAAATCTAGTTCAAGGTAAGCTGTCTGCTCAGTCACAGTTAACAGAAGTATGTCAGAACTGGTTAAACATGTGAGTTGTAAGTACCTTTCGAGTATTCTCTTTTTTCAGAGATCATCAAACATTTCCCTGGAATGGCCCAAGGAATCAATTCATAAGAGGGGCTGACAGTTCATAGTTATGCACTGTTAGTTGCTCTGTATTTGAATGCAGCTATGTTTGGTTTATATCTAGAAGGAGAAAAATGCCAGCTGTGTGTGGGATGGTCCCACAGTCATATTCATGCCACCATTCTGTTTGGCTCCCAGAAGTGAGACCAGGACTTTCTGGTTTGAATAGCAGGCCATGATCTGTAAAGTCCCCTTGTAATATGGGGTCAATAACTGCCTCTCTTCATTCGATTGCTCAATGAGACAAGGCTATTGTTTCAGTCGGAGTTTTAAACTCGGATCATATAAAAATTGGAGATTGGGAAATTGTTTTAGGATAGTTTTTCCATGTTTTCAGTGCATTTGAGGCCTCTCAGGCTTTTTTAAAGAAGACCAAGCATACTTCACGTGGGAAAGAATCAGAAAGTTTGGATATCTGAGGAAAAAAAGAAGTGATTCTATCAAGAAAAAGCAATCACTACGGAAGGTAAAGGCTTTGATTAAGAGCTGATGTTAACAGTCAGCTTGGGCATGACTGAATGGCTACACTTGTTAAAGGATGAAAAGTGTTTGGTTTTTTTTTTTAACTAAGGAGGATTTTTTTTGTATTCTCCCTACCTCAAGTTTGTAAAATTCAAACAAAGCATTTTGGTTTGAAACATCCTGAATTGACTTCTGACAGAACTATCTTTTTTCTCTAAAGTACCTACATTAGCAACTCATTTGCTGCGTTGAAAAGCTTTCAGAAAGGCTGCAGGTGAAAAGAATTGCTGCGGTGACAGCAAGTGCAATTAATGTATGTCAACAGCCAGATTCTCAAAATCACTGAGGAAAAAAGATCTAGGTTATAACAAACATATCTATTGTTTATGCTTTCAGTCAACAGAATGAGGTAAAAACTGGAACTGCTTATAGGGTGACTTTTATTTCTGGTTGCACCACTGCTTCTGTGAACTTTCATCTTCTTGTCTGTCTTCTATGTCCCTCTCTGTACGTCATCTATTTTTCCTTTGCAGCAAGGCTTTCTCCTACTATGCACTTGTACAATATCCAGTAGCAGTTCCATCTTTCACTTTCCTGGTCTGCAAAATGGGTACAAACATTCACGATGAACAATACGAAAGATTGATGTAAGTCTTAACAACTCTGGCTTGCTTTATTGTTCTTTCTTAGCCTTTACCTTTTGCTGTCAGTGAACTTGGAGATGTGTCTGTCCTATCCACGCCTGATACTGTACTGAAACTCAAACAAAGTTTATCTAAAAACTTCCCTAAAAATGAAGTTGTACAATAATAATGATTAAGTTTCCTTTGCATAAGAAAGAGCTTAGCTCCCCTCCCAAGTTGGCTGATAACATTGAAAGTGTTCATTTTTACTAAACGTGGGTATTTTTTTGGTTGGCTTTTATCTTCTAGAGATTTTAGGATTATTTCTTAATGGACTGCAGAAGACATGCTGCTGTTTAATGCATCTGTTATAGTATTTTGATTGCTGCCTTTCACATAAGGGAAAGGAGATGATCCTTTAAAGTACAGCTTTATGCTGTTCTCACCATTACAGCTCCACAGATCTTTTGACTGATCTAAGAGTAATAAACTTAATAAACTTCTAGGGCAGTGTCTTTAAAAAAATATCTAGCATAGTGAGGTTTAAGAGCATGTAGGCTATGTGCTTGGAATGTGAGCAGCGTGATTGTGATCTTTAACTTGAAGTGATTTGATGATTTATTTCGGGTTGCACCCATGTGAAAAATTATAATTATTATGCAGGATTCTCTCCTGCCCTTTGCTCCAAATTGTTCCAGCCATTTGCCTGTACACTTTCATTATGAGTGCTCGTACTCACCAGTAGCTGAAGATATTCCCTATAAAGCAAGCTCTCAGTCCAGGATTCATGATACCGTTGGAAGCAGACCTTAGGAAGGAATCTGTAACACATGGGCTGGCCACTTAGTAGTTTGCTTTGCATAAATATTTGATTAGATATCTCAGATTATTGGTCACTAAAATGTGAAATGCTGAAGCAAGCAATTGTAGCAAGATCAAGTGCAATTCATTGCTTCTGATTTTGGTCAGGCTTATTTCACTGTAACTGAAGTTAATCTACACAGTATCACAGGTGGGAAAGTGCAGAAGGTGCCACAAGTTTCTAAAATACTCCTTTCTGTTATCTTGATGCTGGACTGATATGATATGGCTGCATGCCTTCCTGTAATGGCAGCAGCTAATAATTGAAACTCAGGGAGAGGAACAATCTTGGGAAATCAGTGGTCCTACCTGCTGGTGTGGCAAGAAGGGACATTTGATTCAGTCTTTAAGATATCACAGCCACTGGGAATTAAATTCTGTTGTTTCATCCTCTTCCAACGCAACAGTCTCAAGATGGCTGGAAATAAGAGGAGGAAATCAAATATCATTCTGGTTCTTGGTATTCCATAAAGTGAGTTAGTGGTGTCCAAATGCTGCATTGAATTCAGGCACTTGGGCTTTTAATACATTTTTAAGTGCTATTAAGAGTAAGTTTGTGGGACTTCTGTTTTTTAGAGTTTGTTTGTTTGTTTCCCCTGTCCCCTTTCTTCCCCTAAGAGTAGACTTCAGATCATCACTGACTTGTAGACTTTGCTTAAGCTAAACAACTGCTAACCACAGATTTGGGACCAGACCTGTGTTATTCTGGATCCTGTTAGTGAACCAAAGCATTTCTAACTGAATGTGGAGGAAGTTAGCTGATTTCTGGTAGTTCTGTGAGCACAGAGGGTGAAGTAGAGTCCTGGGGCCAACTCAATTGCTCTTCTGTCAGAATGCTGCTATGTTAGCTGCAACAGAAATCAGTCCACAACTATTTTGTTAAAATTAGCATGATAATCTTCATTTCCACCCTAAATATCAAAATCCCATAGTAAAGTTACGACATCCCACCTTTTTTGGGGGGAGGGCAGGGGGAGAGGTGCATTGTATCCCATATTGCTGTTCTTCCCTACCAGAGGCCAATTGTGTGAAGTGCCTCTGAAAGGATATCCTTGCACAGAATGAGTTTTGATGGTGTGACTCAGACTGTCAATATTACCTCCATTCAGAGATACCATCTGTCCATATGCTGATTATTGAACAAAGGAAGTGTTAAAGGAACTTAATCTTTCAAATTATGATTTGTAGGTTTACTTCTTCCCTCGATCAGAAAACATTGAATAGGTGACAAGTTCCTGTCTGGTCCCACCAATGTCTACATGGAGTTTGGATCTGCAGTGTTTTTCAGCACTGGTTTGCTGAATTGCACTGTTTCAGGTCTGTAGTCTGGCAGTATTTATTAATGTGGCTTCATGAACAGTCTTAGAGTAGCCTTGCAAATGCAGCATGTCTGGAAATAGTTTGTTCTCCTTTCCCATCTGTATGTGCATAAACTCCTCTGTTCAGACCTTGTGCTGAGACGTGCAGTTACAGAATCTTGATTTTTTTTTTTTTTATTGTTGTTGTTGTTTACTTCCTCCTATTTTCCCCAGCCTTACACTTTAAAGCAGCATGTTCAGTACATAATGCCAAAATAACACTTCATTATTCTGTGGTGTGAAGTAGCATTGCATTAAACTGTTGTGGAATGTGTGTGTGTTCAGTAATTTCAGTAATCATGTTAAAAATTATCTCCCTGCATGTAAGAAAGCAAACAAGCAAACAAACAAAAAAAGAAACACCAAAGAGACAAAAAAAGGTCTTCTAAAAAAAAAAAAAAACCCAAAAAACAAAAACCACCAAAACCCCATAACTTGAAGGAGGATGAGCAGGGGGGGGACCGACTTCTTACATGGTCTAATAGCGATTGGACAAGGGGAAATGGCTTTAAACTAAAAGAGGGGAAATTTAGGTTAGCTGTTAGGAAAAAATTCCATGCTCAGAGGGTGGTAAGGCCCTGGCACTGCTGCCCAGAGAAGCTGTGCGTACCCCATCCCTGCAGGTGCCCAAGGCCAGGTTGGATGGGCCCTGAGCAGCTTGAGCTGGTGATTGGCAACCAGCCCATGGCAAGGGAGTTGGAACAAGGAGACCTTTAAGGTCCCTTCCAACCCAAGCCATTCTATGAACTTGTAAAATGGAAGGCAGAAGAACGTCTTAAGTTTTCTTTACATCCAGAGTACATATAAACAGAGTCCTTGTTTAAAATAAGGAGAGGGTTGAATCATGTTTGTCCTGTTGAGTAGCAGATGGTCAAGATGAGGCATAAAGTATGGGAGTGCACAGGTGCTCGTAAAAACAAGAACCCAAACTCCACCTCAGGAAAACAAAGATTCTTTATGTATGTCATCTCAGAACTTTATTTTCTAAGCTAAGGATATAAACTAAAGTGGAATGATGTTTTTGAAAATAAATTAAAATTTTCATCAAGATTGAGCTCTTTGACAGCCATGCTTTTTTTTTTTTTCTTGCTTAGGAACTGGGATGAATAAAAGTAAAGTAATATTTCCTACATGGAGAGTAGTTGTTTTTCTGCTTTAGATTGTTCTTGTACTCATCCCCCAAATTTCAAGCATGTGAGTTAATGCAGGGATTTTCTTCATAGATAAAGTGGTTATTAAATGAAGATCGTATTTAAACCCCCATCAACGTTCCATCTCAAAAATATAACAAAACACATTTTTCATATCTCGGCTACTTAGATTAACTCAATATGTAAACAAAATTGGAGTGTTTTGTGGAAAAAAAACCTTGCATCCTTTTGCAATCGATATTTTTTATATAATATAGGGGAGGTTTCTTAAATTTCTTCTTACTTGAGTTATGCTTAGTCAGGATCACAATAACTTCATTTAGCTATAAAATCTGTGATTTGATAAGATCTTAGTTGAAGGAATAGTTTGTAAAGTGTACCTCTGAGGGGATCTCCTGCTGTCTGTGGCATGTCGCACCTTTACTATCGTGGTGTGGGAGTTACCCTGATTTTTTTTTTCTTGGACACTACAAAACTCTATTTTGATGAGATTTAACACTTCCCTCTATTTCAGTTTCGGTCCTAAAAGTAAACATATAGGACAAAGATGGATGTGGTAATACTGATGTTGTTTGGAGAGTGGCTACATTTATATAAAGCTTGCTCAGGAAATTCTAGAAGGTACCAAAAATGTAATTTTTGTACTGCCAAGGAGAAGTTGCATTCAATTCTTTAACAGGGGAAGAAATTTTTGCAAGGAGATAACTGTTGCTGCTCTTCTCCTTGCTATGAAAAGAAGTTTTGCTTCTGAGAGTGATGAGAATACTGAATAGCAAAACTGTGTGCTGAGAAGTTTTATTTCAGTATGTACAACTGAATATCAGCTTTGAAAAAGTTTAAAGTGATGCCTGTTTGCTGAAGTTATGTTGTTTCTTTGCAGTTCTAACCCAGTGACCTCTTTGTTAGAAAATCCAGGTAGAAGACCTGTGAAGGCAGCAGCATCAACAATAAAAGTAAGACTGTATTGAACGTAGAGAATGTTATCTTTTACATCTTGTGTGTTTCTCTGCTTGAATGATAATGATAATTTGAGATTTGAGGAAGAAAAATAATGGGCTGGGAAAAAAAAGAGTGCTTTTTGTTTGGGGGGAGATGATGGAAACTGCTAAAATTTCACTCCTAAAGTGCTGCTACAGCTATCATCAATGTATGCCTGTGCTTGACATTGTTTCCAACTTTGTCAGGCACTGAAAATAAGTCTTGCTCTCTCCCAATATCTCTAAAGTACAGAAATAGATTTACTTTTTTTTTTTTTTTTTTTTTTTTTTTTTTTTTTTAACCTTGCAAGAATTTGGAATTTTCAGCTGTCTTTAAGTGGTGTCTTATCTCTGCTTTGGTAATTTCAGACAGATTAGGCTGTTGCTGGCATTTCTTATAGTTCTGTGGTTCAGATTTATTAGATGTCTTGCTACGTATCCAATTTAAGAAGCGTGCTTTTAGACACTGCTGACAGAGCAGTGAGGCAGAGGAAATCACTGAACTTTCATTTATTCTGCCAAGACTGTACTGATACAGTAACTTGACTCCAATTATAATGTTCATGTCTTTTTTTTTTAGCAAAGGAGAAATCCATTTAATTCCACATTATCAAGTGATAACTTGAACAGCGGAGAATCAGAAAGCAGACAAGCCATTCTACCTCAGCTATCAAATAAGGGTAAATATTAATATGACTGTGAATTTCTTTGTGGTGGATATAGAAATTAATTTTACTTCCATTGCTTCTTACTGTAGGATAAAACAGGTTTTCATACCTTAGCTATTCTTCTTAATTTATCAGCTAGTTCATTTCAAACATCATGTAAAACATGAGTATACTCAGGAAATAAATGTTTCACGCATTCTTTTTGCAAGTGTTCTTGTCCTGAATCACTGGTAGAGAACACAGCAATCCCATATTCAAGGAAATTTCTATCATTATGACCTTTCAGTTACTGCTGCTATTAGCTCAAAGAAGAGTCAAACCTCTTTTTTTCTTGTGTTTCCTCAGTCCAACATATTTTAGAATTTCACATCTCCTGTAGAATTCTCTGCAAGCAAGTGGATAAGTGATGATTTATCACAACTCAGGCATCTGAAATTGTAATTAACAGGCTCATACACGTCAATTACTCTTATGTATCTAATATGAAGCTTGCTAATAGAGAAGTGAAACGCGCACAAACAGAATTCAAAAAATCTTCATATCCCTACTGGGAAGCCATTCTTGCTTTTTAACTTTTCTATGTGAAATTGAAAATACTTTCTTCTGTAGACTGCTGTTTAACTTCTGCACCTGAAAATATGCTTGCATATTCAAAATCTGCCCTTTCCCTCTAAAGTTTAATCCTTGTATGAACTGTGCTGATCAAAAATTTGATGTGCTCCCTATCTTTGAAATTATCATTTTTTTCCATTCTAAGAGTGTTAATTAGCTAGAAGATTTTCACCTGTTAAGGTTTCCTGTTATATACAAATAAAATCAACATTTACATTGAATTTCCTCCTGCGTTTTGCTGCAAGTATTTTTAATCAATGTAATCACTTCATTCTAGATCTGCACTGCATCATACCACTCTGTTTAGTTGAATTTTGTGTAAATTCATTATTTCTTCTCTGCACAGATATTGCAGAAATTTTGTTACCTTCAGAGGAGAGCCAACCTAAAGCATACTTACTAAATGATGGAATGGAGACATCTAAGAAACCTTCTGAAGCACCTGCTGAGGAATCGCAGAAAGGACCGGTTGAGCGTCCCGTCCCCAAAGCTAGAAAATTAGTTCACAAAGTAACCAATCCTGTGCCACAGGGAGAAGACTTTTTTCCCAAACCAGCAAAACGGACCCAGGGGCTTAATGGCACTGGTGCACTGCCCAGGGGCATTCTGAAGCGCAGTTCAAGTTCCAGTTCCACTGACTCAGAAGCTCGGGCTAATCACATGTTCGACGTTCAGAGTAAGAACAGTATTCCTACCATATCTATTTTAGAAGGGGAAGCTGACAGGAATTCTCTTGTGGAAGAAGCAGAAGATTCCACGCAAATTTCACTGGAAAAATTAAAACAAGTGAGGTTCTCTTCTAGCATAGGAAAAGAAGAACCTTTGCAAAGCCCACGGCTACATCATGGAAGAGAAACACGAGAGTCTGATTTGTTAAAATCCGGTGAAGTGAAGACTAGTGAAAATGATGCCAATAGATCAGATTCTTGTAAGAATAAACAAACTTACACTGGAAAGCCTCTGGAAACCTATTCATCATCTCTCCAAGTGAGAACAATAGATAGTTTACAAGAAGATACGTTGGCATCCAGTCCTAATGGCACTAATGAGTCAGTCTCCCTTGTTAATCAAACACTGCAGACAAAGACCATTACTCCTAAGAAACCTGAAACTCCAGAGAAGGCCTCCACCAATATTCTGCCAAAGAACAAAAATGAACAGAATGTTGACCAAACATATGAAAATAACTCCAAGTCTTTGAGCCATGAATCAAAGTCTCTCAAAAACTTTACTGGTAAGAGACTGATAGGAATAAGGAAGAGAATGCAATAGCACACAACCCATATATGTTGAAGTTCAAATTGCTAGTACCTAAAAATTAACAACTAAGAAACACAATATATAGCAGAAACACCCTGCTATGTTTTGTAGAATTTCTAGGTCTAAATCTAATTCTCTAATGTGTTAAAATTTTTTAGAGTATCTTCTGTTGGCATTCTTAATAGATTGCTATCAGATGCCATCCAGAGCCTGGATGGTCAGGCATCTTTATTGTGGATGATGAAGGTGACGTAATGGTGCTTGGGTAAACTTCCTCTATTAAAATTTGGTAGATGTGTCTGGGTGGGAACTGAAGAATTCCTGCTGTTCTGCTGTTGACTGTTTTTGGTAGTAAACCAATTGTAGCTTGAGGAGCACAAGTATGCAACTTCTCCTTCTCCACTAAAACTTTCTCCTTCATTAGAGCCATTTGCTTTAGAATATGGATAACCAATCTTACATGCTACCAACCCCAAAATAATATGACTAATCTTCCAACAGGAAAAATCCTTTTCCAGTAGGAATTTTTTATCGCTGCATGTGGTGTGACTCTTTCAAAAACACACGGAGAGAGCTCCTTCATCTGATAAAAGTTTAAATAAACAAGCAAAAAATCCTAAAACCAAAGAAAATGAAACAAACACCAAAACACCCCTGCCCAATAAGCAAAACAAAAAAATGAGGTTTTGAAGATTTAAAAATTTTTGGAGTCTTGTCTAATTCCTATCTCTGATAAGCTTGTTTATGTTGTAGATGAACATCTGCTTTCTGCTGAGACAAAAACACAAGAACTGTCAGATATAAATTCTGCAGGTCTTCAACAAGGTAAGCCTGATCTTGTTGAGGAACGAGATGCTAAAAACGCTTTCAAGCCTGACAAGCATGGTGCTGAAATTGTGGAAGTGGCTGATGACTCTGTATCAGAAGTCTTAGATTGGTTTGAAAGAAGTTCTGGTACTGAAGATAGGAAAACTGAATCAGCCAGATCCCAAGGTGGGGAACTCAAAGAAGTGAACTTTACAACCAGAACAGTTCTTCCCACAGAGCACAGTGGAACTAGTGTGAATAGAAAAATGCAGGTTAGAGAAGAGTTACTGTATGGAAAGAATAAACAACTGAATGCTATTTCACCCACTGCATTTATTTCAGAAGACATACAACTGATAAAAGAGAGGAGGAAACCTAAGCACAGTAAAGAGAATGAGGATCAAAATGAGAAATCCCTCAGTGAGCTTGACTACACAGGAATTGAAGCGAAAGAATCTGATGAAGAAATCAAGCAACAAAATAAAATAAATGTCTTGAAACATCATGAACACGTGTTACCAGCTCAGAAATGTGTATTGGAAAAGGCAATAAGAGCAAAAAGAAGAATTAGGGAGATTAGAGCATTTTGGGAAAGGCAGGAAACTATCCCCAGTCATGGAGAGAAAGAAGTTGGTATCCATATTAATACATCAGGTGGTGGTGCAATAGAAGGTCTCAAAGAAAGCGACAAAATAAAACCAACTGCACTATACTTACCTTATGGATTAGATGATCAGAGCAAGAGTGCATTAAGTGCTGAATTAAGATGTGCAATCCAGGCTTCAAAAAACGGACATCAAAACTCTTCTGAGTTTGGATCAGGCCATGCTGTTAAAAAAACAGAAAGACCACTTCCATATGAGGATAAAGTTAATGAACGTACAAAATTGACAAGAGACAGTGTCTTGCAGTCAGGAGTTGGTGTCACTTCAGCTTCCCCAAAAATCAAAGATAACGATGGGAAAGAAGCATTTAAAGGAAAAGTTGCTGCTTTTTCCCAACAGAAGTCCAGTTTTCAGGCTTTGTCTTTTGAAAAGAAGAGTAATGAGATGTCCAAGAATCAAATTTCAAGTCCTTCACAGTTTCAGAGTCTGAGAAACTTTTGGGATACTAGAGTTAAGTTACAAAATAGCATTGATAGGGAAGATGTTTCTTCTCCAAATAATGCTATTCGTAATAATACTTTTATAACCTATGGCAGAAATGCAGAGAAAGGTAAGGGCAGAGATAATGTGAGCAAACAAGAGTTAAGCCAACATCAAACACAAGCATCTGAGGAAGAAAAAACAGGGAAATTAGATTCTGTGGCATGCAAACCGCCTGTGGGATTTCTTACTTTTAGAGGTTTGAGTGTGACACCCACAGAAGGTAAAGACACTGTCCAGCTGGTCAAAAAGCCAATCATTTCTCAACCCCATGAAAATACAGGTCTTCAAAGGCAAGAAGTTAAAGAACACATAGATAAAAATATTGTTTCGTCAAAAGAACATCCTCCCAGAGGTTCTCAGAGGTACTCTGAGCAAAACCTTCCCAGAGAAATCATTGCATATCAACCTTCTGAATTAGGTGTAGGGATGAAAATGATTGATACCGTGAATAATACAGCACAAACTAATTGTAGCGTAGATTCAACATGCCACCAAGATACTGGTCTGTCTGAAGATGTCATCGAGACAATAGAAAAGTCTCTTGCCCCCTCCAAGGTCAATGGCTTGAGCCTAGAAAATCTGGTAAGGCAGGTCTCTGAAACTCCATCTCCTAACCCAAGACATGCAGACAGTGCAGGACAGAGGACTGCTGAAATGCAAGCTAAAAACACCAAGTATGAGCAAGATGAAGAGTCACTACAAGAAATCAGTGAGACTGTTGAGAAGTCTGTTGCTCCCTCTAAGGTCAGCAGCTTGAGTTCTTCTCTAGAGAAACTGCTGGAGGAGGCTTCTGAAACACCGCCTCCTAAACCAAGACGTGTGGACGTGGCAGTACAGAGGACTGCTGAGATGGAAGATAAAAACACTGCCTGTCAGCATGATGGAGAATCACTTCAAGAAATCATTGAGACTATAGAGAAATCTAATGCCCCTACTAAGGTCAGTGGCTTAAGTTCAGCTCTAGAAAAGCTGCTAAAGGAGGCCTCTGAAACACCACCTTCTAAACCAAGGCGTACAGTACTGAGGACTGCTGAAATGCAAGCTAAAAACACAAAGTATCAGCAAGATGAAGAGTCACTGCAAGAAATCAGTGAGACCGTACAGAAGTCTGTTGTTCCTTCCAAGCTCAGTAGATTGAGTTCTTCTCTAGAGAAGCTGCTGAAGGAGGCTTCTGAAACACCACCTCCTAAACCAAGGCGTGTGGACATGACAGTGCAGAGGACTGCTGAGATGGAAGATAAAAACACTGCCTGTCAGCATGATGGAGAAACACTGCGTGAGATCAGTGAGACCATTGAAAAGTCTATTGCCCCCTGTAGGGACAATGGCTTGAGTTCTTCTCTGGAAAAGCTGCTGAAGGAGGCTTCTGAAACACCACCTCCTAAACCAAGGCGTATGGATGGCACAGTGCAGAGGACAGCTGATATGCAAGTGGGAAACATGTCCTGTCATCACAGTGGTGAATTGCTGCAGGAAACATCTGTACTGTCTGAGGCTAAAAGTAAAGCACTGGATGTTAATTTCCAGAAGGTACTGAAAGATGTCTGTGAAACACCAGCTTCTACGCTGGAGAATATGGATAAGAAAATGCAAAGTAAAATACCAACTGGTCAAAGTATGTGTATGGCACGTCAAGAAGAAGGAGATCACCCTCAAGAAATACAAGAAACGATAGAAAAAACTACTGTTTCAAATAGTGAAAAATTCAAAGAATTCAGTAGCTCGTTGGAAAAACTTATTCAAGAAGCATCTGAAGCTTCATCTCCAATATCCAAAGCATTAAGTAAACAAGAGAAGTTTGGGAATAGGGTGTTTCCACCACAAACAAAGACTCTAGTTGTGACAGTGTCACAGCCTTATGATAATGCTGTGTGTAGCTGTCATAAACAGAAGATAGCTATCAAGAGTGGAGTTCCAGAACAAAATGCAAAAGCTTCTGTAGATGATCTCGTAACTCCTGAAATGTCTGAGCTCCTTAAAATAGATGGGGCTACTATTAAAAAAGAACAGAGAAACACACCTGCAATAGATCTTCCTTCCTTGCAAGGAGAGACCAATACAGCGATCAAGCCATTCAAGATAAATGAAGTAGGAAGGAAAGGTGAGAGCACGTCCTTGGATGCTTCTGAAGATAATTCACAATTAAAAGAACTGTTGAAATTGAGAAGAACAAGCACACCTCTTAAAGATGAGAGCAGTTCTCCTCAGCTGGAAGGAGCTCAGTTCAGCTTGGCCTTTCAGCGTGAAGATAATGATGAAGAAAATGGTGACAGCTTGAATTTTGGATCCCAGCTTTCAGATGAAAACTCTGATTATTATTCTGGAACCGGAAGTTCGACTCGTGAGCCATTTCTTTTCTAAAATTCATGGTGCTGGGTTCTTAAGCATAACTACAGTTTTTCTGCTAGTCCACTTGAAGTATATTATCTAAAAGTCTATGTGATGCCTATTTCTTAATTGAATGCTTACAATATTTGCTTTGGAAGGATGAGAAGAACTAATTAAGTCCTTTAATTGGAGATCGTTTGACAAACATGTAGTATGTTTGGGTAAGCCTTTGTGATCATAGGAATTCAGCAGCATGAGTCAGTCACATCAGTCTTCATGCTCTTACCCTTTCACTCCTCCCCTATGACATTTCTTTCAAATTAATAACACTGTAACACTCAGATTCTGGTATTTCTTCTAAATACCCTGGATTAAAAGAGGAAATAAAATCAGTGCCTGACTGAGATCATTCTTTAGTTTGGCCAGCTTGTCTTTGAAGGTAAAAACTGATGGAGTGGCTGAATATTAAGACAATGCCAGTACTTTATGCTGTTTAGCTTAGCATTGCATTGCTGCCTGTTACACAAGGAAACAAGCGTATAAATGAAGCAAGCTATTTAGCAGAACTTGCATAACTTTAAGTTGGCAGCTCTAGTGTGATAGTTTAACCTTTTTATTCTGCTCCTGAGAGACTGGAAATGCTCTGCTTACTTACAGAGTCTGAGAAATTTTGAAGGTTCTAGAACATGCCATGTTTGGATTTATTTAGTATTGTCAGTGCATGCTCAATGTCTTTGCTGAAGGTCAAAACAGATTCCCAGAAGAAACTGGTGGTTGGCTTTTTTTTTTTTTTTTTTTTTTTAAGTGACTTGTTTAAAAGGCATGTCTGTGTGTGCAGTGTTCATGTGTTTTGTCTCATAACAGGTTCAGAAGAAGAGTTAAATCCTGTTTTGATGGCTTTGAAAAGGAGTGCAGATAGGAAAATGCCTTCCAAAAGTCTAGAGGACATTCCATCAGCTACCTCAAGTGAGCACAAAGCTTGTGTGTGTCTCCCATGACCTCTAGTTTGGCTTAAGCATGCTTACGCTGTTTTTCCATACAACTTTGCCAAGCAGTATTTTTATCTTTTTTTGTTTGTCAGTAAGCAGTGTGAAGTTTATATTGTAAAACTGATTTTTTTTCTCATATGGTTTAGTTTTCAGTTCTTAGTTTTTCTTTTGAAACACTGCTCTGTGAAGCAGACATCTTCCAAAAAATCACCATGTTACACACATTTTCTTTGATGGTTAGAAAGTTTTCAGTGGTGAAAATATTAACAACCACCCAAACCAGTAATGAGCTGCAACTGCAGTTCTGTCCTGGCTGCTTGCTTGGCTCAAACAAGTAGTCAGTGGAAGCATGAAAAAATTGTCTTAGTTTAGTAGGTTCACCTGTTCTAGCAGTTAATAAAACCAGGCTCATTTTAAGAGAATGGAATGAGACAAGACTGAACTTAGGAATCATTCCTGGGCTCTCTCTGTAGCCTCCTAAAACTATTATTATTGTTTACTGTTGTAATTTGTTTCTGCATTCACCCTGCTCCTTGGTGTTTTTATGTTTATTTCATGTCTCATGGGGAAGATGTGAACTGAAGGGTGGAGGTGTAGATTTTGAAAGATGTTGGCTGTTGTTGGCAAATTAATCTTCTAACTCTATTTATGCTGTTGCTCACTTCTAACTAGTTGCAGGATGTAGGTATGCACTAACACTGTTGTAGCAGCACGCTGATAGAAACTGTGTCAAGATGGTACTGCTTCTTGGATGCAGAATTGAAGTAAGCGTTCCAAGTAGAAAACATCTCTTGAATTAACCATTCCTGTGGTTCTGCTGTTTTTTGTCTTTTATTTTTCTCCTTAAATTTGTGATTTCTACTACAATCCATTTCACTGTAATGAACAGCAAGCTTTCTAACCACATGTTACCTTTTTTCCTGCACAGATAAAGGAAAAATAAATATTCCAAAGGAAGAATTAGCTGTTAGTGCTGAAGATGGTAAATATCTTGTGTGTCTGCATGGAAGTTTGTTTTCCAGTATTCTCTGCTAGTGAACGTTTTTTGAAGCCAAGAATTGTACTATTCTTTGAAATTAGACTAACTTCAGCATGACTTAAAAGCTTTTGTAGAATTTCCTTATTTTATTCTAAAGTCCTAGACTCAGGTTACATCATGTGATACATGTACAAACTTTGTGTCATCTATCAGTCTTATTTTGGCCTTTGGTCATTCAGCCTTGAAACAGTTTCTGTACTCATTTAGAGCATTGAATGCTAGCTTAGCTGAAAAACTGGGTCTAATTCCATATTGGATTTGTTAATCTGTCACATTATAGCATGCAAAATGACTTTAAAAAAAAAAAAGACAAAAAGAAAGCCCTCCACAATACATTCATCGAAAAGGATCTCTTTGCTGTCTCAATCCACCAAAGTACAATTAGTTTAAGCAAAATATGACACTGGATTGGCTACTGCAGATAACATTGATCTATTAATGCATTACAGATGCCTTACTGTTAATTTTTTGTATGTTCCTTTAGAAATTTCAAATCTAAGCAAAGCAAAAGCAAACCTGCTCCAAGATCACGTCAAAATGAACATGCTGGAGAACCATTAAATAACACTGAATATGCTGGAATGTAACACAATTCTTTCTTACCCACTGCACTGTGGTTTTAAAAATAGCTGTGTAAAGCTGCATTTTTTTTAACTTCAAAGCATTTTGAATGTTAGTGGTCTGTAACAGAATAGAATCCATGCAATGTCCAGTATGTTAACAAGTCTTAAAAACTCTATACTTAAGTACATAATGCTGCCTTCAGATGGAAAGCCTTACTGAAAGCACATCATATATTCAATATGTAGGCACTTATCTGGAAAGGGTGGCTTTTTTTAGTTAAATGTGTTGTTAAATACCATGAGTGAAGTTCTGAGAAAATGATTAACCCAGCCAAACTAATAACTGTACAGATACAGGTAGAGCAAATTCTCTTGAAAATATTATTTTGTTTTGCTAAGCTTACACATTAATGTTCCCTCTATAGTGATTTAGCTCCTATAAAGAATGATGCAAAGCTTAAACATTCATGAGGATCTAGAAAAGTAAAGGCTTGTCACACACAAAATATGTTGATGTTATTTATCAAACTGTAAAGCTGTTTGTGCCACTATTGACTGTTGTCAATACTGCACTGAGCAGGTCTGAAACCTGATCAGCATCAAGTGAGGAATGAAAATGGAGCAGGAAGTGAGTAATAGGATTCTTCAAACTGACAATGGAGAAGTTTCTCCACTGATAGTTAAACTAACACATTAAAGATCTTTTTTTTTATCATTTAACAACTAACAAGTTGTACATCTAGACTAGAATATGACTGAATAAAGTAACTGCATCTAACTGCATACTGACAATAATTGATATCCTAACCACTGTTTGAGCTTCATCATCAAATGCTTTGGAAGAAGCTTAACTCTTTAGAAACAATCCCAGCATGTGTGTGGTGTTAAAATGTGTACAACAGGTACATACATGGCTTTGTAGCTGGCTGTCCATTGCCAAAAAATTCTGTCATGGGATATTCAGTATTAGTATATTTCACCATGTGTATCTCGTGTAAAGACCTGTAATGTAGAGCTTTAGTGTATCATTAAATATGTGTTCAGAGCATGAAAAATTCTAAGAGTGGAGAACTTACAGTGAAATTAGATCTTTGAAAGGCTAGTTTGTGTAAAGAAATAAATGAAGAGCACAGAAATGAATTTCAGTGAAGGTGTAGCAAAGTTTGAGCATGGAACTGGCTCCTCAGGGGAGTGGTAATGGTACCAAGGCTACCAGAGTTCAAGCAGCAATTGGGCAGTGCTTTCAGACACAGGGTTTGAATTTTCGGTGGTCCTGTGTGGAGCCAGGAGTTGGACTTAGTGATCCATGTGGGTCCCTTCCAACTCAGGATATTCTAGGATTCTATGAAAGTTAAATAGATTGGCAGTAAGAAACTGCATCATTGAGGTATGCTTTTAGAATTAACTAGGAATACTCCATACTTGAGACCTTGTTCAAATGTAAACATTTCTTGATTCACCCAAACATATTTTGCCATTAATTGGACTGAGAAATAAAAAAAAATATATAGTTTGGTATGTGGACTAACTTCTTACCAAAAACATTTTGATGACTCTAATGTTAACAATGGCAAGGTTGGTGCATGGGAACATTTATCCTTATTCTACAAAGAAAATCTGGAAGGTAAATAGATCATATTTTATCAGAATGAACTTTCAGCACTCAGAATTATCCATTGTCAAGCAACGCAAACATTTTGTCTTCTGACAGACAAAGTTTTGTGGCCAGAGTTACAGATGTCAATCTAGATCCTTCCTAGTGGTAGCAGCTCTGAGTTCTAGAAGAAAGTTTACAACTTAGATGTAAGGTTTTCTGTGCATGTGCATGTATTTCATCTGAGGTTGGTTGTTTTTAACCATGCCCTGCTATGGAATCTCACTCTTTTGATGTCCAAGCTTTTTTTTGAAACTTGAATTGCTGCTCTTTAGTCTCCACAGTGCCTTCACAGCCTGATAAGCCGTTTTCCAACCCTGAAAAAGTCAAAGGACTGAGCAAGTCAGTACCGTCATTCCTACAGGAGGAGGTATGTTACATCTCTTGAAGAACTGTAATTAAAAATATTGATTGCTGTGGCATTATGCATTTGCCAAATAGTGTTTCCCAGGTTCTGCCAAGCCAGTTTACTAATTGCTCATAGCATGTAACTGTTTGCAGTATAACAATCAGGATGATCACAAGCAACCTGTAGCTTATTAACCTTTCAGACACTTCAATAACTTTTATTCCTGCTGTACAGCTCTACATAAAGAGTATGTTCTATCTACGAGATTGAAGCATAGTGAATGTTAGCTGTTATTCCCAAAGGCAATTTCTAATCTTCAAATAACAGGTCTTTTACCTTCAGAACATGCATACATTAACGTATTTGTTTTGTTCAGAGCCTAAAATGTTTGAGTGAGTCTGTAAGTCTATACGTAATGGCATCTTCTGGTGACCTTTCTCAGAGGTGTAGTAGTTTGGGATGGAGGTTCAGATACTAGGCTCTCTAAATCAAAGCTCAGTACTTCCAGCAATGTCTTTGTAAATCATTTAAATTATTATTTAATGTAATTAACTCAGTATGATTTGTAAGAGTATGGCATGGGCCATGGAATAAACTCTGAGGGCATGTTCACAGCTCCTAAAATGACACCAAAGTTTGAAAAAGATAAGCTATTGGAACCTGGCCTGTGCCTTCCCAAACAGTGAGCAGAGAAAGGTATTGAGACTGTATATAAACCAAACACCAGTCTCCAAACATAAATGTCTAAAAGAGGTAAATCTGTAGATAACAAAATAGAATCATAGAATTTTAGAATCTCCAAGGTTGAAAAAGACCTCCAAGATCATCTAGTTCAACCATCCACTTACCAACCATATTTCCCCACTAACCCATGTCCCTTAGTACAACATAGTTCAACTTAGTTCAACTCTTTGAAAAGGCAGATAACAGCAGGACAAGGGGAAATGATTTTAAGTTGAAGGAGGGAAGATTTAGGTTGGATGTTGGGGGAAGTTCTTTACAGAAAGTGTGGTGAGGTGCTGGAACACCTCAGCTGCCCAGGAGAGGCTGTGGATGCCCCGTTCCTGGAGGTGTGCAAGGCCAGGTTGGATGGGGCCCTGGGCAGCCTGGACTGGTATTAAATGTGGAGGTTGGTGGCCCTGCATATGGCAGGGGGTTGGAGATTAATGATCCTTGAGGTCCCTTCCAACCCTGACCATTCTGTGATTCTGTGGTAGCATCTAAACATTTCTTGAACACCCCCAGAGATGGTGATTCCACCAGCTCCCTGGGCAGCCTGTTCCAGTGCCTGACTACTCTATTGGAGAAGAAATTTTTCCTGCTCTCAAACCTGAACCTCCCCTAGCACAACTTGAAGCCATTCTCTCTCATCCAATTGCTACTTACAGGGGAGAAGAAGCCAATCCCCACCTCACCATAGCCTCCTTTCAGGGAGTTGCAGAGAGTTATAAGGTCTCCCCTGAGCCTCCTCTTCTCCAAATTAAGCAAATTCAGCGGCTCTCCTAAGACTTGTGCTCCAGACCCCTCACAGCTCTGTTGCCCTTCCCAGGTCATGCTCCATGGCCTCAGTTTCTTTCTTGTAGTGATGGGTCCAAAACTGAACACAGTACTCAAGATGCAGCCTGGCCCCACCAGAGCTGAGCACAGAGGGACGATCCCCAATCACCTCCCTTTGTCCTGCTGGCTGCATTCTTTCTAATACAAGCCAGGATGCCATTGGCCTTGGCCACCTGGGCACACTGATGGCTCACGTTCAGCCAAGTGTTGACCAACACCCTCAGGTCCATTTCTTTCACAGAGTCTTCAGCCACTCTGCCTCAAGCCTGTAGTGTTGCCTGGAGTTGTGGCCAAACTCAATTTATCTCTGCAGATATTCTTAATGTGTGTAGAAATTGTTGTTAGTTTGCATTTGTTAGTAGAATATCAATGACAGCGATTCATCTGCATAAATGAAGGGGGGCAGCCTTGTGCATTGTTGACAAATGGAACGCATCAGGGAGATAATGCTTTTTATAGCAAATTGCATAGGAAAGCTTGTGTGGAAAGAAGCATCAAGTCTGTCCAGTGATGGCATGGAGATGTCATGAGTGAGTTGTAAGCATAGTGCCTGATGATGACCAAATAACCCAAAACTGCAGTTTCTTGGTGTAAAAGCAGTTCCTTGCCTGCTGTCTTGCAAAATAAGCATTTTTTCAAAAGCCTATCACTTCATCCAGTGCTGTTTTACTGTGCATGTTACTTTGCAACTAACTTTGCCTTGAAGGAATGGGAGAATTGATGGCATTCTCTGTATAGCAGAAAGGGACTGGTGAAAGACCTGAGCACTATCACTTGCATAAGTTTATGCACAGCATAGTGAAGTAGAGAAGCTGAGTTTTAATTGGCCCAATAAAATTAACTTTGTACTTTCCATTGCTATTTGAGATTTAAGAACAACCAAAAAAAACAGTTGCATTATTGCTTTAAAAATGTTTTAGCTTTCTGTTAGAAAATTTAAATTCTAGCTTTCTTTGAGTCCCAATTTGTGTTATTAAAATCATTTTTGTTTTTTTTTAATGTTCCTTGTAACAACAAAGAACCTACACAGACCTTCTTTCTGTGATGTTTTTGTAGAGTGATGAAAGAGAGACAGATACAGCATCAGAAAGCAGTTATTCCTTTGGCAGAATCAAGAAGAGTCCCAGCTCTCTAACCAATCTTAGTGGTTCTTCTGGCATGGCCTCCTTATCCTCTGTATGTACACAAAAGCCTTGTTTTAGTGACACTTTATTTTTGCTAATCTCTTCAGAATTGTTTTGGCTTCCTTCTTTCTCTTCTATTTCTTTCCCTGGCATCTCTCTCCTTCCTTCCCTCTCCCTGCTCTTTCTGTTATGTGAACCTTTGCTTGGAATTGCCTTTAAAAATAGATAAAGATTATTTTTATTTTTTGTTTTCTAGCAGTATGCTGGAACTTGCTTGGTCCCATTCTACAGCATACTCTATGAACTCTACACGAAGAGGCTTTTACATTAACAGATTAAAGTTGTAGCAAAAGTGGGGAATAATTTATACAGGATAAACAGAAATGGATTAAGGGGTAAAGGAGAAAATAAGTGAAAGAAGGACAGTATTGCTATGTGGGGTGAACTAGATAATCAATTCTAAGAAAATAAAAAAAACAAACATATATTCTTCTCTTTCTACCTGTCCAGAGTTTCATTTTCAAGTATGTTTTCTTTTGGCACCTAATTCAGGCACATAAAGATTCTGTCGATTTCTTTGTTGGTATTTTCAGAAGGTAGTTTGTCCTAAAGCTTTAGGCTCTGCCTTCTGCAAAGATAAGCTGAAGGGATACACACATAATATCTCGAGGACATGATCTCACACAATCTGTAATGTAGAGCATCCTATCACATTTTTATTCTTCCTCAATGCAATAAGTAAGTTTTTCTGTTGTTATTGTAGAAAACTTGGCCTGACACCTTTTAAGATTCACAAATAACATTCTTCCTTTTGCTAACCTGCTCACTAAGGAACTTGTATAATATGTCTACTGTATTTCATAACTACATCTGGAGGGTCATAGTTAATTTCTTTATTGTCTGAATCCTGAAGGTAACTTCTGCTCTCTCGAAGTATTTGGTAAAAATGCACAGCTAGAAAATTTTTTTCCCTTGTGTGTGATACAGGTGAGTGGAAGCTTAATGAGTGTCTATAGTGGAGACTTCGGCAGTGTCGATGTGAAGGGGAACATTCAGTTTGCTATTGATTACGTAGAACAACTGAATGAACTCCACATTTTCATTTGCCAATGTAAAGACCTGGCAGTTGCAGACATCAAGAGACAGCGGTCAGACCCGTAAGTAAAAACAGAATATCTTCTTCCTAGTGTAATTTTTACTTTTAATGTGCAGATGAGAACTGTATTTTCTTTCCAACAGATCTGTATGATTGAGTAAACAACCAAATAAGTGGAGGCTATAACATGCTTTACATGTTTTTCTACTCTCAACCACATCTAGAATTGATGTATAAATTTACATACATTAATGTGGGAACCTCAAACGTCTAAGAATGTGAAATTCTATTTTAAATTTTAACTTCCAAGATTAAGGGGAACTTAGTTAAGTGGATTTCTTTTACTTTGAAAGTAAATACTTGTGTATTTTGGAATAGGAAGTTGGAAGGGGTGTTTTCTTGCCCTCATTACCAATCTGTTTACATTTTAGGTATGTGAAGACCTACTTGCTTCCAGAGAAATATAAGCTGGGCAAACGGAAGACCTCAGTGAAAAAGAAAACTTTTAATCCAGTCTTCAATGAAATACTGCGGGTATACAACAAACACAGATTAGGCACGAAGTATAAGAAATTCTAACTTTCCAGATTCAGATGCTCTCAAAAGAGATATTTGTGTTAAGATGAATCACTCCACAGGTGTACCTATGTTTATCCATCGATAGTTTATAATCTCTAGATTGAGAACACTGACTGTTGTGAAATACTTGCAAACAAACTCAAGCTACTTAGGAACTTAAGATTTGAAATATTAAAATATGAGGAGTGTTTTGTCTTGAAATGAAGTGAGCAGTTATGTATGTTATAAACTCAGACACATTTTTCTCTGACTGTGTCATTTTTGTTTTCTCCTTCATTTCTTCCTTCTGGCAGTACAAAATTGAGAAAGATCTCCTAAAGAACCAAAGCCTTAATATCTCTGTCTGGCACAATGATACCTTTGGGAGGAATAGCTTCCTTGGTGAAGTGGAGCTGGATTTAGGAACTTGGGACTGGAATGATAAATCCAACAAGCAGATCAACTGGTTTCCACTCAAGCCTAGGGTATGTTATTAAGGATGGGTTAGCTGTTCTATATTTTCTGCTGTATGTGAAAGACCAAATCATTTTTTATTTAGGCCTAATCTGTGTCTTCTGTGTTTTTTTCAATGTGAAGAAGTGAAGTGAATATGAAAAAGTAACAAATACTTATGCCTTTTTGCAAGATAACTGCTGCTGAGGCTGATTTCCAGATAACTATTCCTACAGAAGTGAGTTTATGAAGTATAATTCCTGTTGCACAAAGAACAAGTTTCTTATGTACCATTTTCTAAGTACACAACAATGGAAAAGAAGCGCTCTCAAGGGCTTTTGATCTCTCCTGGGTCTTGTCCATCATTTTAGTGGTAGAACTATGTATCTGAGGCACTGTCAAATAGCTCAGCTTGCCCTAAATCTGTGGTGTGCTCTAAACTGAGGGAAGACTGAAGAAGAAAACAGGACAAAAAATTATCATGTACGAGTCAATCTTGTTACTGTGCGAAGTTTTGTGTGTGTGAACAGTAGTGTTTGAGATGTTTTTTCTTAAATTTCAGACTTCAGCAATGGCTTTTGAACTAGAAAACAGAGGGGAGATGAAACTAGCCCTCCAGTATGTTCCACAACCTGTTGGAGGTATGCATTGCTTCTTGGAGTTTGCCAGGGATTTGGAGTTTTAGCTGGGGGCAAGGGGTGGGTTGGGTGGTGTCCTGCTTTTAGCAGTATTCTATATAATAGCACCCTGTGGCAAGCTGTCTGATGCTTAAGCACAGTGCTGGGTGCACTTTCTACGTGTTGTGCTTCTAGCAGACTCAACTATTTCAAGTGAGTTCTGGCTCTGGGAGACGTGATCTTCCAATTCTAGGTGAGGGGGTGAGGGGGAGGAGCTCTCAGCTTTTCCAGGAGGCCAGCTGTTAAGGCCTGCCCATAAAGACTAGCACTGACTCTCTCCCTCTTCCCCTTTATTCCTGTATAGAAAATGGTGTAGTGAGCAGGACCAGGGAAGTCATCCTGCTCCTGGCACTGGTGAGGCCTCACCTCAAGTACTGCGTTCAGTTTTGGGCACCTCAGTACAGTAGGGACATGGAAGTGCTGGAGCAGGTCCAAGGACAACAAGGCTTGTGAAGGGCTTGGAGAATGTGCCATATGAGGAGAGACTGAAGGAACTGGGGCTGTTTAGCTGGGGAAAAGGAGGCTGAGGGGAGACCTTATTCTCTTCCAATATCTGAAAGGTGCTTACAGGGTGGGGTTGGTCTCTTCTCTGTTGTAGAGTTAGATGTACAGTCCAGTTAATCTAGTCTGTACTTATGTTTTTTTTACTCTCTAACAGTTTTGGAGATTATGAAATCATCAGACAGTTGCTGTGATTTGTTACACAAACAATTACAATGCATTATGTTCATAGAAGTAGCTGTATGATTTTTTAGGTTGTTCTTGCCTGTCAATTTATAACTGGCTGGCCTGACATTGAAGCTAGGTCAGGTCTTCAATCCAGCCAGCCAATTGATAAGAATGAAATATATTAAGAGCACAGAGGAGTTTATTTGAAAGTATAAGCAATGGTAAAGGCTACACTAGGTACCTACAAAGATTAATCAGAGCCAGGATTTCTTATTGTCATTTTAAAGGAAAGAAGATTCCGTCCACTGGTGAGGTCCACATCTGGGTGAAGGAATGCCGTGATCTTCCTCTTCTGAGGGGCAACAGACTCAACTCTTTTATTAAGTGGTAAGAACTGTGGTTGAAGTCATCAAAAATGGTGGCACAATAATGCCACTGTTATTTCTAATCTTACCTTCAATTTTCTATGTTTAAATCAAACCCAAAGCTACAACTACTTAAATTACTTTCTGATTTTTCTTTACTACAATGCAAATTGTCCTGCAGGGCTTGTAACTTCAAGATGCAAGTATTTACTACCAAGTAAGATGTACTGGGAAAACTTTCTTAGTAGCCACCACCCTTTCATTCCAAATGCTTAGCTTGTTGGTGGAAGGGCTACTTAGATTTAAGCGAATTTTGTGTCTGGTACAAGTTGTATTTAAACCAAGCAGGTTTGTGCAAGAGTATGCTTCAGTTTACTGAATCAGGGGAGAAGACAGAAGTGAGAGGCACAGCTGTATTTCTTCCTCTCTACAAACTGATTTAAAATGTAAAGAGGACAGCAAGATGGTTGGGAACTGTGGGAAATCAGTGAGAATCCAGCAAACAAACTCACTTGTGCCTCTTCCCTTCTGTCCTCTGAAGTATGAGAGTCTTCTTGGAAGGGTCTGAGAACACGACCTTTGAATTTTTCTCCAAGATGCTGAGCCATTTTATCTTTAGTTGCTTTGCAACATGCAAAGGAGTGTTAATCAGTAGTTTTTGTTTATGGAATACATTTAATGCCAGTTACACCGTTAACTTGCAGTGCAAACTGACAGTGGTTTTTTTTCTGTCTGAAGTACAATTCTTCCAGATACCAGCAGAAAAAGTCGCCAGAAAACAAGAACGGTGTCAAAAACTACAAACCCAGTATTCAACCATACCATGGTCTATGATGGCTTTAGACCAGAAGATTTGAAAGAAGCCTGCGTAGAACTCACAGTCTGGGATCACAACAAACTTGTCAACCATTTTCTGGGAGGTCTCAGGATAGGCCTTGGAACAGGTACTAGAAATGAAGAGATTAATCCTTAATTTACAGAATTGTCTTTCCTTTCTATCCTTTCCCTTTCCATTTCTTTTAAAAAAATAAAAAATAACAGCCTTCCAGCCATTTATTTGCTTAAGAGTTTCATTCAGTGAGTTATCTGTTTTTTGTCAGGGATCCTGCCTTGTCACTCGGCCCTAATACAACTTCCATTTACAATTTAGAACAAGTGTAGTAGAAATAAACCTTTGTCCTTACATTGTACCTGGTATGAAATACAAGAATATGCTATTTCTGCACCCAGAATCTTGACAACATACCACAAACTTCTGCAAAAACCAGATAGGTGGTGTAGAATCAGTATTGGGTGGAGATAAAAGGATAGATTGGGAATGTTTGAAAAGATTTGAACATTTTGGATGTGGAAACTTATAAATGCAAAGATGTTTATTTGCAGAAAGGCAGTGTGAGATACGCAGATAGAACTGCATGTTTTTCCCAGTTGTTTTATATATATATATATATATATATATATGTATATATATGTCCCGTTCTATCCAAGGAGGGACGATGCATTTACAGTCTTTCAAAGCAAAAGCAAGAAAAAATGAATTCTCAGATGGTTCAGCAGAATAACTTAAAACACAAGTGAGGTCAGTAAACACAAACTTACAAACTTAGTCTTAACAAGTGGAGAAAGGTAACGCAGTTTGTGTGCAGAATCGTCACTAATTGCATTTGATGGAAATGTCCAACCATAAAAGTTGAGTCAGATCTCGAAATCACCACCTGAGGAGGTGAAACTGCTTGAGAAGACAGGCAAATTTGATTGTCAGCTCTCAACTTTGCATAATATTAAGTGATTAATGTGTCTGATGTTTTTCTAGGCAAAAGTTATGGAACTACAGTGGACTGGATGGATTCTACTTCAGACGAATCTGCCCTGTGGGAGAAGATGATAAAGTCGCCCAACACATGGGTGGAAGATACACTACCTCTCAGGATGCTTATGGTTGCAAAACTGACAAAATAAGGGCTTTCTGATTGCTAGCAGCAAAAAGAATTCTTGGGAATGGAATCAAAAGGTGTGGTAGTGAAGCTTGGAAGAGGAGCACAGTAGCTCCTTTTATAGTCTGTGTTCTGTGGCTGTTCTGTTTCTCTGCTATCAAGTGTCACTTCATATTTCAAGTTACACTTCTGCCTGCAGATCTATGCAAATTTAAAGGGCTAGTTCTTCTTCACTGAAAATATACTCAAGTAAGAATGCACCTAGCAATTGAGAGGTAGAGGAGTCTGTGATACCTGAATGCTTGTGTTGCCTAATTGAAGTGTTGCTTATTCCTTAAATCTAAATTGCTGAAAGTGTGTTCTAATTGCAAAAAAAAAAAAAAAAAGGAAAAGCAAGTAAACTTGGCACTTCCTGGATTGTTTGTGAAGTGTTTTAATGACTCATTAGCAACAGGTGGCATTTTGTTCATGCTTCTCAGCATCCCTCTACAGCTGAATCCTCATTGTGCTACATTGGATCTCTCCAGCAAGGACTGTGCAGAATGTTTTTTTTTAAAGAAGTCCCTTTACATGTGGTTGTACTTTTATATGGTATAAAGTTGCTTCTATAATGGAAGAAGCACTACTTGAAGTGGAACTGTTGGCATCTTATTCTGCAAGGTGCAGAGGACTCTTAATTCCAGTTTACTAGGAAAAACTAAGTTTATAAAGTTTGCTTATACATTTGTTCATCACCTTGCTAATAAATCAACATTACTTTTAAATATTGAAGGCACTGGAGTCAAACTTGTTCATTCAAATGGTACTCTAAAGGATCTATACTTGCCAGTTTTAATGATGATTAAAGTATTGGGTATTTATTTTGTAAAGTGTACTCATTATCTGTACCTGCATCTGTTAGCTTGTTTTGCCAAACTCATTTCTCTGTTCTTCAGCGCCACCGTTAGGAGAACGCTGGGATTATGGCTGGTCCTGGTTTAAAGAGCTCTGCAGCACATGAAATGGGACAGGGATTTGTCACTTGTGGAAACGCATGCCACTAAGGGAAGATAAATGCATAAAACACAAAGGGTATTACTTAAAAAAATAATTCCATTTAAGGCTGCTTTTATTATTATTAAATCTAAATAAGAATTTGTTTATTAAAACTCAATGCTTTGTTAGCTAGTCAGTATGAATATGCAATATAATGAAGTAAATATAATAAATGCATGTTTATTTGCAGTAGCTGCAAAGATCCAGAGGCTGGAAAAATCCTGCATCTAAGGTTAGGGAGGAAAAAATACGGCTCTTTGCAGCTTCAAATCAGTTGCTTAATTTAATCATGAAAATGTAAATGCTCAGACTCCTTGGTTATTTGTTGTATGCCATGAATGGGGGGAAAAAAAAAAAGGTGCTTTTCAACCTGCTGGGGAACAGCCATTCTTTCATCAGCTGTGCAGCCCGGAGATTGCAAAAAGAGCAATGAGTCTCCATCCCTTACTGCCTCAGCTGCTTTGGACGAGGTAAGTAGCTGGTGCAGATTGCACTTTGCTTTTCCAGAATCACCACCCATTCAGAGGAGGCCAACTAAGAACACAAAAGCAAAGCAACTGCTGTACCACTTAAGTACAGATATGTTGTTTTGAGGCGTAGTATGCACACTGGCTCATAAAAGAACAATCATTTATGTCTGAGAGAAACCTCTATTTGTAATCACTAACTACAGGATTTCATTTTCACCTTAAAAAGTTGCTGAAAATATGACCAACAATTTAACAGGTATATAAGTTTTTTGTTGTTTTGTTTCCTGTGAAGCCTAGACACATTGCTGTGCCAAAATAGCTAGGGGAGCTCAGCTCATAGATGGGGTCTTGAGGCTTCAGATTTGTAGGCAAGCGCTCTGTAATCTCCTGTGTTCTATACTGTACAACATTTCAGTAGCTAAAAACTTAATTGCTATCAAAATAAAAGTTCTGTCCATATATATATGGATTCCACAAAAACAGGAGCTTTTTTTTTTAATGCCCTTGGAAGCGCCAGCAGCATTTGTTTGCTAAGAACAACTCCCAGCTACTTCCATGGCTTCTGGAAGGCAGGATTCTGGAGTGACCCATTCAGACCTGCATTGCCATGGACACAAGCCCCATGCTAGGAGTGTCAACAAACAGGCGAAGGAAGGAAAACACCTGGCAACAGAGAAGATCTGTCCTCCTACGCCCCTCTCTCTGTTTTTTTTCCGCTGGATAGCCTCAGCATTTTGGTCTTTCCCTGTTATGGCTGAATGTTTTGGCAGGAACCAAAGCAGCAGCAGTGGAAGGTGAGTACCCAGAAGCAGCATCCCTGCTGTCACAGCTTGGCACCTGTCCAGACTTGGCAGGCTTGGGTTCATTTTTTTTGCTGGATGTTGTTCTTCATCCTTCCTTTACTTCTCTCTCTGAGGAGTTTTCCCTAAGCCTAAACTTTACCTCCAGCCAAGGCACAGAAGGTCTCAGAGCCTGATTATCAGCAGGCCGTGTCATGCTGTGTCACTGAAGGTCTGCATCTGAAAGTTGTACTTCAGTTTTAAATAAACATTTTGTACATCTGGGTAGCACTCCAGATGATTAGGCACTAATAATGCTGCTGCTGTAACACAAACACCTTCAGAAGAGAAACCAGACTCAGCAAATCAGCACCAACACTCAAACAAGGAACCTTCTCTCCAGGCGCTGCCTTCATTACTGTGCATTCACTAGTTATTGCCACTGAGTAGATGTGTTGTGTTTTTTTTTTAATTCATGAATCTCTAAGCACAGTGTAAGGCTATTATTATTTTTAATGAATAATATACTATCAAAACCGTAAAAATCAATTTGAGGATTGAACTGATTCTCTATGCTCTACTTAGATTTATAATTTGTAAATACCAAGCCTACGGTTCTTTGCTTTTGCATCATGGAGTCTGGTATCTTTCTCTTCAGTCTGCTTGTCTTTGAACTGGGGTCTGCAGAGGCAGAGAGGGCTGCAGGGCTGCTCTTGGTTTTAGGATTCTCTGTCCACCAGCTTAGAGCAGTTCTGGGAACGCTTCAAACCTCCTGAATGTCACTAAGAGAAGTGGTGTCTGAAGTGTTTTGTCTTTGTGTGTGACAGTGTCTCCATGGCCCAAGAGGATGGAGAGGCAGTGATGGCCAACCACAGAAGTGATGAGGAGATGGGCAAAGATGCAGAAGATCTGACAAAAGGCATGCAGACACCCTGCGGGAGCCCTGAGGAGAAGAGAGAGAAGGCTCTGCTACGGGCACGCCTGGAAGAGCAGCACCACCTTATCTGTATCTTGAAGAAAAAAACAGATGATGCACGCAAACGCTACAGGAGCCTGGAGCAGCTTAACGTGGAACTGGAGAAACTGAGGCTAGAGGATGCTGTGAAACTAAAAACCCAAACCCAGCGGATTCAGTACTTGGAGAATTTGGCCAATAACCTCGAAAAAACGATCTACTCCAAGGACGAGCACAAGAAACAGAACGCACAGCTGAAGGAGGAAAACCAGCACATGCAGAAGGAGAACGAAACCGTCCTCAGCCAAGCAGCGAAGGACAAGGAGGCTGAAATGCTCCAGCTTGCTGCCCAGGCCAGAGAGCTCTCGCAGCAGCTGGATGCTCTGCATGACAAATGTGCTTGTGAGAGATCCAGGGCCCAGCAGCTAGAAAAGGAGCTCCTGGAAGCACAGAGCCAGCAAGCAAATGCCTGTATCTTGCAGGTTGACTCGTTAAGACAACAGCTGCAGCGCCTACAGGAGGAGCACCAACAAATGGTGGAACAGCTAGAGCATGGAGAAAGCCAGCAGAAGGCTCATGATGCCGAGCTGCAGGCCAAGCTGGAGAGGGCAAATGAGGAGAAAGAGCAGCTGCTGAACCTGGCCAGAGAAAGGGGCAAAGCTCTGCAAGAAAAGCAACAGGAAATTCTGCAACTGGGGAGGAAGCTGGAGATGGCAGAAAGAGCCAAATGGAGAGCAGAGAGGAACATTGTTAAAGAAGTGGCAGCAAACTATGATCTGAAGGTCCAAGAGCTCCAGCAAGAGCTGAAAAACAGCCAGCAGGCTTACAGCGAGCTCTCACTGCAGTTTGATGCTTACAAAAAGCACAGTATGGATTTACTGTCCAAAGAAAAAGCACTGAATGTCAAACTTCGTCACTTTAAGGCATAAAACGTCAGCATTCTGCTCGGTTCTTAGCAGGTACCACTTCACTGATTTCTGTTCTTGTTCGTGCAGCCATCTTCTAGCAGATCTCTGTAATGTACTTACAAGCTTAAATCCTTCTGCAAGAACTGGTCTGGAGCCTTTAATTCTTTTTTGTTACAGTTTTTCATAAGAGCTCTATGCCATTAAATCCAAGCAGGAGTTGTCAAACTAGCCAAACCATGTCAGATCTGTAACGTGAAAGATTAGGGGGGAAAACTTCAAATGTGAATTTGATTGATTTGGTCCTAGATTTTTTTTTTTCCCAGACTTTTTTATTTATTTATTTATTTATTTATCAGAAGCACTCATAGTCTCTAACGTTTGATTCTCTCTTGAAGTTCAAGAGATGGGGAATGCCTTAGAGGCATCTTTGGAGATCCAAGAGTGGAATCCAATCTTGCAATGTCTGTGGCATGGACAGTAACAATTCAGAAACTCACTGGGTCCAAACAGTAAAATCACTGAATCAATACCTGAGGTTCAAGCAAGATATTACACGTAGTTGTTCTACAGCTGCCTACAGTTCTCTTACCTAATGCCAGTGTTGTTTATATCCCTGTTCAACTCAAAGTAAGAGATTCTTTGGGTGATTTCAATTGTTTTCAAAGTAGGTTGAGGGTTTAAGTGGTACAAAACCTGAGGGCACAGGTCTGGCAATTTCTGGCCAAAATCTTTCTGTTTCTTGTCAGCACCGTGGGACAGTGAGGCTCCCCATCCTCTCCTGCCTCTCTCCCAGCTGAGGAGGTGGTTTTTGGCTGCTGAGTTTCAGCTCCTGAAGCCTCCCACAATATGCTGCATCCTGCAGCTGCAGCTGGGCTGCAGGCAGCTGCCAGAATTGCTCTCCAAGTTCTCATAACGTGAACATGTCTTAGAGACTGACTTTTTACACAGTCTGATGCACTGGGGCACATTAATAAGAGTGTGGCTGAGGGAGGCGGTCCTGCACCTGTGCTCTGCCCTGGAGAGGCCACAGCTGGGTCCAGTTCATAGAATCACAGAATCATAGAATGGCCTGGGTTGAAAAGGACCACAATGATCATCTGTTTTGAACCCCCTGCTATGTGCAGGGTCACCAACCACCAGACCAGGCTGCCCAGAGCCACATCCAGCCTGGCCTTGAATGCCTCCAGGGATGGGGCATCCACAGCCTCCTTGGGTAACCTGTGCCAGTTCTGGGTTCCCCAGTTCAAACAAGACGGGGAACTACTGGAGAGAATGCAGTGGGTTGGGCACAGAGATGATCAGGGCCTGGAGCATCTCTGCATGAGGGAAGGCTGAGAGATGGGAGGCTGTTCAGCCTGGGGAAGACTGAGAGGGGATTTTATTAATGCTTACAAATACCTAATGGAAAGATGGAGCTAGGTTTTCACTGTGCTCATTGACACAACAAGGGGCACAAAGTGGGAAAGTTCCCAGAGGAAAAACTTCTTTACTCTGAGTATGGCAGAGCACTGGAACAGGCTGCCAGAGGTGGGGAGTCTGCTTCTCTAGGGGTGTTCGACATCCACCTGGACGCCTGGACCTGCTGCAGGGAGCAGGCTTTAACCTGGGGCTGGGCTCCACGTTCCCAGAGCTCCCTTCCAACCCCTACAATTCTGTGACAGTGACAGGACAAGGGGGAACGGTTTAAAATCAAATGAGAGATTTAGATTTAGGTTAGGAAGAAATTCTTTACTCAGAGGGCGATGAGGCCCCTGGTGCTGCTCATGGAGCTGTGGCGCCCCATCCCTGGAGGTGCTCGAGGCCAGGTCGGATGGGCTCTGCGCAGGCTGAGCTGGTGTGGGGCACCCAGCCCGATGCAGCGATGAGGAGCGGATGTGCTTTAAGGTCCTTCCCAAGGCAGCCATTCAGGCACCGTTAAACTCCCTCACACACGCGCTTTTCCCG